TGGAGTCGCACGGTTGAGTTTCGTTGCAATAAGGGAATGTACCCCTTAGAGTACATGGCTAGTTAGGTCGTTTCATATTCCACCTGTACTCTTATTTATATGCTTGTATTTGCATGTTTTAATCATGTCAATCATTTTACATTCACTCTGATTTGAGGTCAAGGGCCCACCACTACCACACACCTTGTGCGAACCTTCCTGAGGAGATCCTGGTTACGATATAACTTCTGATCGTAGCAGAAGTTGCGGGGTCGCGAGATGGTTGGGTGCAGGTTCGGTGTTGGAAAACCCGAAGCGGACGCGGTGGTGGTTCGGAGGGCGAGGTCATCGGACCAAGCCTGTTCTCTGAAAACCGGAGTTGTACGCGTACAGTGTGACCTAGTAAGGAATCACATAAGTTTTCTTACACTATTAGTAAGGAATTCATAGAAGTGGAGGCTCGCCCGATGTTAGAATAACAGGAGGATCGATTGGACAGAATAGGGTACTAGAGGTTCTAAGACATCAAAACTCTTGTACTGACCTGTTCTTAATTAATGTAAATGACAAGATGATACTAACAAAGCATTACATTGCGTTATATAGCCATAGCTAGCTATGCACTCTGAAGGGTGCATGGCCGTATTAAAACCGTGAACCGTAATACAGTGGCTTGACTATTCCGATGCTTGCGGTTACTTGGTTGTGGCGTGTAACCTCCGGCCTTGGTCAGCCAACAGTCGGGACACTTTTGACTTATGACTATTGGTTTTTCATCTTCCTCTATTATCGCGCGTTTCAAATGAGCGTAACGCGATAGTAGTTAGTGCACATTTTCTATATGAAAATTGCGCTATAGCGATACCTTCGGGGATGCCAGTATAACAATTCAGACATTCCAACACTCCCCTTCATTTCTGAAGGTATGGCGCGTATGCCTTCTCGATGACTCCGCACAGGTGAACGACGTACTAAAACTTCTGACGTGACATTTTATTCATCAAAAAAATCCGCTGCCATTTCTCCAGTCGGTGAGGTCCACATTGCATTTGCATATCTCGTCCTTCACGAAGAAGTAACGAAGAGCGATGGGGGCGATCCAAACTTCTTCGCGAGTGTCTTAGCGTACTTAGAGACGACGAGATGGATGCTTTCGGCGGACTGGGAAATGTTGTGTCCTGCTTCTCTTGAATGCTATTCTTTAAGCGATCGAGGAGCTCCGCGCTGGTCCTGGTGTAAAGCAATGCGTCGACGTAGGCAACGAGAAGAAGGTAGTCGCCGCGGAATTAAAGGCGGTACATGCTTTGGTCACGGGGAAGCTGTTGGAAGCCGAACTCGATGAGGATGGTGTGTAGGTACTGTTGCCACCTGCATGGTACTTGTTTAATGCCGTAGAAGGAATTCTGAAGAAGACACAAATTTGATTCGTCTTCTTTGAACGCGTGCTAGATTATTGCGTCGACGATAGCGTAGAGGAAGGTGTCAAACGGTGTTTGTATGTCTGTAGGTTGTAGTGGGGTAGCCTCCATTGAGTACCCATTTTAGGGTTAGACCTACTTGTACTCATCTCACATTCCTAGTCAACCATTCCTGCGTTAGGATTCTGACATGGTATTCAGAGCAGGTCCCTCCGTAGGACCACTCGTTTAGGATTCTGGCATGGCGTTGCAGATCGATTTGACGGAGGCCAAGGTGTTAGACGGCGGGGACGCAAAGCAAGATGCGGATGGATGTGTAGCGTCCGCCGTGAGTGAAGTTTTGAGTGTAATCCACGAATTGAGTATGCTCGAAGCCGCGCATGACCCATCGAACCTTGTAATTTTCGATGGACCCATCAACTTCCGTGTTGATGCGGAAGTCTCTTTTTTTGGAGAGGATTTTCCTCCCTTTTTTTGCTGGGCGTGGGACCAACTTCAAGGTCCTGCGTCAATTTAGTGCCTCCATTTCCATGTTTCTGGCTTCCTTCCACTTTTCTCTATCTGGTCCTTGCCGGGCTTGGCGAACTGTCGTGGGCTCGGTGAATTTGAGTTCCGCGAACAGCTACGACGAGGGCAAGAATGCGTAACCCGATCATGTCGAACAGGGTCCGTGGGCAGTTTCGTCGCCGCGTTACTTCCACTACATCGTCGTCTTCATTGTCGCAAGGGTTTACTCGAACGACATCGCGTGAGTCGTCTCGGTTAGAAACTTCCTCCATTAGTGAGTGTTTTCCATTGTGCTTGTATATAGTCGTTGAGTCGTGCTGGGACATGGGGATGAATGTTGGTGTGTTTAAGATGCCTGTAACGAGAATGATGGGTGGTTCGTTGTCGGTTCGATCCTCGGGGACGTCTTCAGCCACATCATCTTCGTCGTGTTCTGTGGCGAATCTGTGCTCCCCTTAAAATATGCTGTATGGTGTTGCCTGTGTTGTGCGGTGCTGGCGAAAGAGTGGCGGGGTCAGCTTCTTGCGAAATAATCAATCACGTGATCGGGTAAGCTGGTGGGTGACAAAGCCGAGGACGGTCCATGCGTGAAACTCCGTCTTGATTCCAAGGTGAATTCCCCATCTTGCCAGGTTTTCAAAATTTCCGGTCCTGGTAGTGTATTGCCACATCTTACCCTACCATGCATCCGAACACCCGAAGCTTCTTGGTGTCAGCGTTGCTTTTGTAGGGCAAGAAGGCAGTTGATACGGCTGATTGCCTCATGAATGCTCTCAATTTTGTTGTTAGGCTCCTGTTGGTTCGTTCAGCTAACCCTTGTTGTTCGTGAGCGTAGGGTAGCGAGGTCATCCGCTGGATGCTCTTGTCTTTGAAGAAGTCGCGAAAGTGGTTGGAGTGGTATTCCAGGGCCCCATCAATATGGAAGACTTTTAACCTCCTGCTCCAATTGTCGCGCCACTTGCAGCCAAAGACGAAAATATTCAAACGCCTTGTGACAGGTGTCAAGAATTGCTGCCCAGACGAACTGAGTAATTGCGTCGGTGAACGTCATTGTGTAATACTATCCCTATTGTGCCTTGAGTTGTTGGGCATAGAAAGTCGCTGTAGACTTTGTCGAGGGGCTCGAAACACTCTGGTTTAGTAATAAATTCTAAAAGAAGGGAGTGTGAGTTAACCTATTAGGGAACGCTCATCGGAAAGGCAAGAAAAGATGACGGGGTGTTTATCATTGTACTTGAGACCTCGAGACAGGAGTCGCCCCCAGGATGGATGCACCCAAAAGAAACAGTCTGGAACGTCCCGGACCAAACGAGCTGTGCTGGTCGCTCGCCGTCCCCACTGGCTCAACCTCAACCCATGGAGACACAGGACCCCAAGGGGTGGGAGAAGAAGCAACACGTGGAGAAGGGTGGAGATGGGGAAGAATAACAACACCGACGGACTGGGGAGATGTGTCGGATTCTCACTTGCCGATGCACAGAACTGTCATAGGTCCACTGGTGATCCCCGATTGATCATAGGGAAGGGTTACAGGCATGTTGGCCTGGGGGGTTATGGGCGCACTGACCCGCTACTGAAACAAGCCCTTTTATCCCAGTGGTTAGTGGCTGGGATTCTGACATGGTATCAGAGCGAAGGTCTCGGGTTCGAATCCCAGTGTGTGCACTTCGGGCATCCCAGTGCGGGGGGGTGTCAGAGGTCCACTGGTGATCCCCGATTGATCCTAGGGAAGGGTTACAGGCATGTTGGCCTGGGGGGTTATGGGCGCACTGACCCACTACTGAAACAAGCCCTTTTATCCTAGTGGTTAGTGGCTGGGATTCTGACAAGAACGGGATGGGGTTGGGAGATCTACCTGGAGAAACGACACAAGCCGAATAAACCGAAGAATGGGGAGAGCCGGAAGTAATAGCGGAAGGAGGAGGAGGATAAATGGCAATTGACGTTACGAGCCATGGAACAAACCTACCTGCTCCAGAGGAAGAGGCGCCACCCCCCCAATATGTACCACCCATCATCCCCGTCACCACAGATGGAAAAACATACTATCGCCTCGACACAAGGGGAGCAAGCAACATTACTGTGGTGATGATGTAAAGTGTAAGGGCGTGCCGTCGTTTCACAATAGGACGATGCTTGATTGGAATTGTGCGCGAGACAGCGCCGAAGCAAACAACTGGATGGTAACGAGCTAAATTATAGTCAAATTCAGGCAGATCGTGTTGTACAGAATTGGAGCCGGACGCAAAACAAATAGTTGTGCGCTCCTTAACACATTTACTCAATAATTGTAAGCAAGCTCTAAGAATTTATGATGTGTATAATAATTATCCGGTTAAGTAGGGTCAGATGTTTCTTGCTTCCCTCGGAAAGCGGGCTGACCGATTTTTATTGTCCTACCCACTTTTTGAAAACGCTACCATATGAAGTACATATGTATCCTTGAAGTTGTGGAGGGGCAGCTGAGAAAGTTTTTGGCGCAGAATTCTGAATCCTGGATCAAGAATGCATCTCGCGACTCGCGTAGCCCTGGGCGAATCCAACAAAGGGATTTACCTGTGCCAGTATCGGGGGGAGCCCTTGGAATTGTGCATTGCAACGAGATTTACCGAGTCGCTATGCGTGTCGGGTCAGCTGCGACTCGAAGGACCACCGAGTTCCAACTCGACATTGGGAAAAGCACATTTGGGGCGCAATCGCCTCGGGGGAGAAGCAACTGAGCAAGGTGTTCACTTGGCACAAGCTTCCACTCCCAAGTACATTCTGCCCTTCACAAGCACACCCTGGTTGGTAGTAGCGCTTCCGCTCCAGCAAAACAGCAAATCGGGGGCTGTGGTAGCAGAAAAGAGCCCACATTGACAACCTTTCACCAAAACCTCTTAGATATCTTTCAACTTTCTTGAGGAGACTATCACTCAATCTTCCCACGCTGTCTCGCTATCGACTGCTCTGTGTGCCAGTACAGCTACAGCTTACAGCTTCTCTACTCACGTTGACCTCTTCTGCCAGCACAGCTATCCACCACCCACACTCGTTTCCTCCACTTTGAAGCTTTGCGCTTGCCTCACATCCAGGCTCGGTCTACCGTCCACCACAATGAGGTCAATTGCGCACCTACTATCATGTAAGCTAAAGAAGACGGATACAGCCTGCGATGTCAAACTCTTGCATCGTGCAGCCCTGCTGTCGAGTGTCGTATTCACGAGCTTCATAATCAGTAGTGGCTTCGCGTATTATCGCACGGCGTGCCTTCTTCACGTGACTGCTGGTCGGCGCAATTCTGTCGCGCGTCGTTCCGCGCTATCACGCTGCGCGCCTGCTGGTTTTCGTGCTCGTTCCGGGAGCATAGCATCAACGAAATGCGTTCCCAGCAATTCCCCGCACCCATGCGCAGGCTTGCTCGTGTGCTTCCTCGTGTTGGGAGGCGCGCCAAAGCGAGCGCGCAGATTCCAGACATCAATATCACCGCCATCCCGATTTTCCTCAATCAGTTACTCATATTCCCGCCCCGCCCTGTCCCGCCCCGCCTCCGCTTCCCCCTGCACCCACGCGCAGGCGTGCTCGTGTGCTTCCTCGTGTTGGGAGGCGCGCCGAAGGCGAGCGCGCAGATCCCTGAAATCAACATCACGGCCATCACGGATTTTCTCAACGAGTTCTTCGCGGCCCTCCAAAAGGACAAGCAGAGCTCCTTCCCCGGCACCAAGCTGTGTAAGATGCCTTTCCTTGCGCGTGCTGTACCATGGCTCCCTTATCTCGTGCACCATCGATTTCGCCCTCAGACGTGCTCAAGGGCAAGGCGGAGAACTCGGGCAGCTACAACGGCGTGGACGACTTTTGAGGCGCCTAAGAAATCATAGCTGCGCCTTTTCATCCCTCCCTTCCTCGTGCTCCGTCGATTCCAGACGTGCTCAAGGGAAAGGCGGAGAACACGGGCGACTACAATGACGTGGACGATGATGATGATGATGACAGCGACAAGGAAGGCAAGCTCGAGATTACCAAGTACTCGTAAGTCGGGTGTTTGCGACGGGGGTCTTGTCGCTCTTTGGCCTAGAATTTGGCCGTCGTCCGCAGTACCGGGAGCAAGAAGGCTGGGGGTGGGGGAGATTGCCGTGCTTTCTTGTTGATAAACGTACGGTTTTCGCTTCCCTGTTGACGTGCACGATTACAGGTTCAACAACATCACGTCTTTCAAATTTGAGGCCCAATCCGACGGCAGCAAGATTAAGTCCATGACAATCCGCAAGGGTCTGCCAACCGTGTTCGGCAAGGTGGTGCTGGTGGTTCCCGGAAACCCCGTGAAGGACGATGACGAGTACGCCATGACGTCATGGATCGTGAACGCGTCCTACGTGGCAGCGTACAACGGCATGAGCGTTACAAGTGTGGTTGATGCCATATACGCGTCACCGTACGCTTATTATGTGAACATGACGACGAGCAAGGGGTGGCGGCGTGGGCAAATGTACAAACCACTGTTCTGCTTCTGGTGTGACTACTAATCCTGATCCTGACGCCGGCTGGCGGCAAGGGAATCGTCCGTTTGCGTCTACCTTGCGACCTGTCCATCACGAGGGTGTATCTACGTAGGTTCCTAGTTCGTAAGGGTCTCTAGGCGAGTTACAATCTAAATTGCTATTGTTTCTAGTTCCTTTTAGTGTAGTCCAATCCAGAAGGGGCGGAATGTATTTGCTCATTGGAGGGTTCTTTGACTCCGAGAGGGGTTGTAATCTGTGTCTTATCAGCCTAAATGTATCATCCAAGTGCACTAACCAGTGTCAAATCGGGTTTGGAGTGAGAACCAGGTGAATTTGTAATCAATGGAGCACTACCGACCAATTCTAGAGATGTTTAGAGATGCCTGTTTACTGTTGCCCCAGAGTAGCCTGCCCTCCTGGTGACAATGCACAGAAATGAGAACTACCGTATCACCCGGGATATAGGCGCCGTCCGATTATAGGCGCCGGTCTCAAAGTTAGCGAACAACGGAATGTATGAACTAGGGAAACAAGGGATACAAATAGCACCCTAAAAGTGTTGTACTCCCTAGAGTGCTACTCACTGTAGCCTAAGAACTTATAATAACATTTGACACACCCCCATAGGCTAAGTGAGGGGCATCAAAACGGTCACAAGACCAGTCAATGCAAGAAGCAAAGCAAGCTCAGGGTGGATCTCAAGGACGCCACACAAATTCCGAGCACAAGCAAGCGGCCACAAGGCCAGTTCAAGAGTTCACTAGGATATATATAGCAAAGCACAACAAGCAGAGCAAACAGCAAGACTACAGCAACCGAGGGCCTACCTCAACAAGCCCCAACTGCACACAGAACCTGTGGTGGTCACCAAGCGCCAGGGCCTTGGTGAAGACGTCTGCAGTGTTGGCCTCTGAGGCCACAAAGTCCAGGCGTGCCTGGCCGCGTCGCTGCAGCTCTCGCAGAAGGAAGTACCTCACGTCAATATGCTTCACTCTGCTCTCCAGTCGAGGCTCTCGACACAGGAGGATCATGGCCTTGTTGTCAGCGTACAAGGTCGGAGCAGAGCGAGGCCACTCACCAAGGTCGGTGAGCAAGAAGGTCAACCAGCGAAGCTCCTGTGCCGCCATGGCACCAACGTAGATCTCTGCCTCTGCACTGGAAGTAGCCACAGACGACGACCGTGTAGACCTCCACGACACAGCACCAGCACCCAGACTGAAACAGTAACACTGAGTCGAGCGCTGAGTCTCCACGTCGTCAGCGTAGGAAGAGTCGCAGTGACCAGTCAACGCCAATGGCTGAGTCCCTCCAAGCACAAGCCCCATGCCTGATGTAGTCGCCAGGTACTTCGCCACCCTCACAGCAGCTGTCCAGTGGACAGGACGGTGTCTCCCAGTCGCAACAAAGCGAGAGAGGACGCTGAGGGGAAAGGCGAGGTCCGGCCGAGTACAAGTCATCAGGTACATGAGGCAGCCCACCAGCTCTGCGTAGGGACCACTGGGCTCAAAAGGCTCGTCGGGAAAGGGGCCAGTGAGTCTGTGGTCAACAGCAAGAGGTGTGGGGCTGTGTGGTGGAGAACTGGAAGTCGAACCGCCGAAGGACCTGCTGCACCATGTGTGACTGAGTCAGTGTGATGGTGCGAGCGGCTCTGTCCCTGGTGATCTGCAGGCCAAGGTAGCGCTGCAGTTCACCTAGGTCAGTGCACCTGTCTCTCTTCTGCAGTTCGGACTTCACCTGAGCTAGAGCTGCCCTGTCTGCTGTGGCAAAGACCAAGTCGTCGACGTACACTAGTATAAAGAAAGGAGTGGAACCAGTGCGAACAAACAGCGACGGGTCGGCAGAGGAAGGACAAAACCCAAGGTCACGAAGCGTGGAGCGAAGAGTGTCGTGCCACTCACGGGGCGACTGGCGGAGACCGTAGACTGGCCGTCTCAGGCTCCACTGGGTCCCAGGTGGGAAGGTGTCAGTGAAGCCAGGAGGGCGGCGCAGCCAGATCTCCTCGTGTAGTCGGCCCTGGAGAAACGCAGTAGAGAAGTCAAGGGAGTGCAGCTCGTAGTCTCGCTGTGCTGCTACGTGCAGTAACACCCAAAGAGTAGTCATCTTCAGGGTCGGGGCGAAGGTCTGGAAGAAGTCAACTCCCTCACGCTGACTGAAACCCCTAGCCACGTAGCGCGCCTTGAACACAGGCGGTGAACCAGGCGGTCGCTTCACCTTGAAGAGCCACATGCCATCGACTACGTTCGCCCTGGGAGGGGGAACTGCGTCGACGTAGGTGCCTGTGGATCTCCAAGACGCTAACTCCGAGGCCATAGCCGCTTTCCACTGTGAGGCCCACGCCCCTGACACTGCCTCGCGGTAAGTGCGAGGAGTCGGTATGTCAAGGGCGTCGGGGTCTCCCTCAGGGGATAGCAGCATGGCACAGACAGAGGGAGAAGCGGCTGCCCAGTACTCCAGCTCAGACTCTCTGTCCTCTAGGACGTCACAGCCAAGGGCAAACCCACCCCCGACGGACAGAGGACGGGAGGGAGGAGCTGGCACCACACGGGTGGTGTAGTCAAGGCGACTGGCGGCAGCAAACTCAGCGACAGCGGTAGTGAGAGCCGAGACAGACGACGGAGGGAAACGAGAGTCGGTGACAAGAGTGGCGAGGACACGAGAGACAACAGGACGAACAGCGCGGTAGTAGTCAGTGACAGGAGTAGGGGGGAAAGGGAGAGAGGACGGAGGTGGACACGGGAGAACGGACTCAGGAGGAGGACGACGAAGAGACGAACAAAGGAGGGCAGTGCGGAGGTCGGTAACGGGAGACGAGTGACGAGCACGCGGAGGACAGGGACGGACACGAGAGTGCGGGACACCAGGTGGAGGAGACTGCGGTGGAGGAGAAGACCAGACCGACGGACTGGCGTCAGGAGGAGGAAACGTGGGACCAAACGCTGGAGGGGACGGAGTGTGAACAGGAGGAGAGGAGGGAAGACCAAGGGCCCGAAGGCCACTCACGGGTGGGAACAACTGCCGCTCCAGAGGGAGCTGCTGTGGTCGCAGCTGCGGCGGCGGTGTCTGCTGCTGCTGCGGCTGCTGCTGCTGCGGCTGCAACTGCTGCCGCTGCTGCTGCTGCTGCTGCTGCTGCTGCTGCTCCAGCAGGTCCAACTGCCACAACTCCTGCCGCTCCCTCTCCAACAGCACCTGCTCCTCACGCTCACGACGACGGGCCGCCTGGAGACGTGTGTCTCCGCAGAACCAGTGTCTCCTGCTCCAGTCTCCTCAGAACCACCTCCATTGCCAGCGCCTCCAGTACCAGCACCCCCAGAACCAGCACCTCCTGTGCCAGCACCTCCAGCTCCAGCACCCCCAGAACTAGCACCTCCAGTGCCAGGACCTCCAACTCCAGCACCCCCAGAACTAGCACCTCCAGTGCCAGCACCTCCAGCTCCAGCACCCCCAGAGCTAGCGCCACCTGCGCCAGCACCTCCAGCTCCAGCACCCCCAGGACTAGCACCTCCAGTGCCAGGACCTCCAGCTCCAGCACCCCCAGTGCTAGCGCCACCTGCGCCAGCACCTCCAACTCCAGCACCCCTCAAACGAGCACCCCCAGACCGAGTACCGCCAGTGGCTGCACCTCCAGCTCCAACACCAACCGAGTCCACAGTAACCTGTCGCGGAAGTACCGAAGGCTGCTGAGGGTACTGTGAGGAGGACTGCGGGGAGGGAGACGCTACCTGACGCGCGACCGAGGGTAGAGGGGTAGCGTGAAACACACCTGACGGGGCAGGACCAGGGGGGGGTGGGGGTACCGGAGGAGCGGGAGCAGGGGGAAGAGAGGGTGCGAGGAAAAGGGGGGGAGGGGGAACCGGGAGACCTCGACAGGGGTACCGGGTGTAGTAGGACACTGACTCGTCGAACCGGACGTCACGGGAGTCTAGGAACTGGTGGAGGGGCGGGTGGTAAAAGGACCAGTTGGCCGAGGCTACCGGGAAACCAAGGAAGACACAGGGGACGGCGCGAGCCAAGAGCTTGTCCGCAGAGGTGTCGCGGACAAGCGCAAGGCAGCCCCAAACACGAAAAGCTGACCCAACACCAGGGGACCCGGTCCAAAGACTGGTCGGTGAAGCCTCTGGCCGTGAGACGCGCGGCTGGAGGTTCAGCTGGTGAGCGGCGTAGCGAACCGCGTAGGGCCACAGAAAATGGGGCGCGCGGGCATGAATCATGGACGTGCGGGCGATGTCCATGACCAAGCCAATGCGGCGCTCAGCAACCCCATTCTGCTGTGGTCAGGACGCCAGCAGGTAGTGCCAGCACCAGGGCCGGTCAGGATCCGGTACTGGCAGGGGCCGACGTCGCGGCCACCGCGACGAGCCCCCCAGCTGGCTGGGCTGTTGCTGCAGCCAACGCGACCTGAACCACCAGGCCCCCACGGCTGCTGAGGGCGCCACAGCTGCTGAGGGCGCCCCTGCTGCTGCGGAAGCCACTGCTGAAACGGCCGCTGCTGCTGTCCATGCTGCTGGAGAACCCTAGTGGACTCCATGATAAAAGC